ATTTGCTTTTATTTTATTTTATCAACCTTTCATTTCTTGAATTAATTGAAAATTGTAACACCTTTCATAACTGTGAAGGTAGTTATTTCTGAGTTAATTTCTCAAAATATGGTAGAACTCTATGCATGCATATATGCACATGTTTTTTTATTATTATTATTTTATTATTATTATTATTATTATTATTTAATACACACATGCACATATACACATAATTTAACCGTAAAGAAAAAAGGAAAAAGTTCTAAAAGAGACCAAAAACAAGTTTAATATCAGGAGATAAAGTTACTCAGGATTTAATTAAACAAAATTTTAAATTTTAAATTAGAAGAAAAGGATTATACTACCTTGGAAAATTCTTTTAAAGAAATTAAAAAGAAAACATAGCATTTTAGAACGAAGTTAAATGCAAATTGAAATGTTAAAAATTAATGAAATTGTTTAGAATTTTTCATATTTTAATGTTTCAAATCGACTCGTCAAGGGATGGTAATTAAAAACATTAAAATTCGAACAATTAAGAAAGACTGAACTTAAAGTTTCTTTCCTTTGTATATATAGAGAAATAATAATTTTTATTTTTGCCATTTTCCATCGCTTTTGAGAGGGGCCAGAATTTTCGGGAGAACTATTATAATTAAAATTGTAATGGTTCATCAGCTAATTCTGGATACAGAAAAGCAAAGATTTTTTTAAGGAAGAGAGATTTTAATTGGTTTCATTGTTTCCTGCTCCTGATGACTTGGCATTGAAATTGATTGAATTCCTCTCCTTTCATTTTTTTTTTTTCATTAATTTTTTTAATTTTGTTTTACTTGTTTGAAGAATTTTAGTTTTAACAATGGTTAAATTCTTTTGCACGTTTATAGGATTTTTCGAAATTTATTGCTTATGAATTTCAGTTTTTGGGCTTTGAGAAAAAAACTGGTTCTAAAATTTCTTTATATATATATTAATAAATCAAATATAAGGAAGGATTATTAAGAATCCTGCTCCTAGGCTACAATAATTTAATTAAACATAATTATAATTAAAGGGAAATACTCCTATTAAAATTATTATATTTCAAATTAAATTAAGAAATCTAATATAGTAAAAGAATTATAACTTGAAAGGTAAATAAATTCCAATTTACTAATTTGTAATTCCAATTTACTAATTTTTTAAGTAATGTTAAAAATTGTACACTTGAATTATATAATTATATTGATTTATTTCGATTATTTTATTTTATATTCCACTACTATTCGTCATTGCTAGTATAGCAATTTTTCCATGTCGATTTAAGTTTTAATACTTGTAAAAAAGTTTCTGAAACTTTTTTAAATTAAAAAAAAAATTAATATTAATTAAAAAACTGAGAATTTGTAAATTGGAATTTATTTAGACTTCAAGTTATAATTCTTTTACTTTATTAGCTTTCTTAATTTAATTTGAAATCTAAGAATTTTAATAGGAGTATTCCCCTTTAATTATAATTATATTTATACAACCGTAGTACTACGGGTTCCTGGATTTGGAGTAATTGATGGTAACACTTGATGGAGAATCAACAAGCACAATTTATTCGCCAGTATTACGCAGGACAGCTCCAAAGACACGTTTACATTCGTCGAAAAACAATGATAAACACTCTGAAAAAAATCAGTAACACAGCCTTCAGGTTTAAAGGTGAAGACAGTTTCTCGGCAAAGCACTAAAGTAAACCTCCCGACTCGGTGGATCGCTCTCAAGATAATCTCTGAACTCAATATACTGCTACTCTCTCTGCGCACAGGCTGAGTATATAGCTTTCACCTACCTTTCAGAATATTCTCGAGAAAACCGCTAAGAATGCGTTCCAGAATGTTCTCGCTTCGTCTATGGGATATCGCCAAATGGACGATTTCGCGCCAAATCTGGCAACCATGTTTTTCTCTGCTACTTTCTGGCAACTCTAACACCGCTTTGCGAGGAAGCTATCTCACCGTAGTTTGGCATTTCGCAACAATATACACATATATATATTGTATGTGTGCGTTTGATACAGACAAAAGGTTTTTGCCAATATTTGGCTATTGCTGGTATTTTTCATGCTTTACTAAGCCGATTGTGCTTTTTTACTTTAGATCAGTGATCTTCACGCTTTGTCGATTCACGAAACTTTTCGAACTTATAATGTTTTTTGGGTGAATCCCTTCCAACCTTAGAAAAATATATCGCGGAAATTAAAAGTAAATCAATGTGTTAAAGTAAATCAATGTGTTATTTGCACATTATGTATAGACTTCAGAAATACACTGTATTTTTCTTAAAACATTTTAATATAAAATTAATTAATGGTATTAACTCGTGTTCCAAGTGTCTGCCTTTGCCTTAATATTTAATAACAATGGAATGCTTCCATTTTTTTTACACATACTGTCGAAGTCTAGCTCCTTTGATGTCATCTGTAGTCGCATTTCATATTCTGCATTTATTTGTTTCTACATTTTATTTTTACTGCCACATAATTTGAGACAGATTTTACAATTAAATAAGTCGTATCGAATGACATTAAAATGTTTATAACTGTCGGAAGAATTTCAAGGCATTCTGCATAAAACTACATCCCAAATTTAAGAACTGCTGTTGCTTAAATTTAGATTTTTAACGTCGAATCTGTTGGTTTGTCGGTAACTTGTTCCCTTTCCTTCGCAAGAAAACCGTCTGATGATTTTGTATCCAGATGCTAGTTTTTCTTTCTGGGAAATATACTTTTATAGTTTTCTTCGATTAGAAAAGGTGCTCTGTTGTGTAAGTTTTAACACTGTTGTCTGAATTTAATTCATTTTCCGTTACAAAACTGTTTATTTTAGCAAAGCTTTGCACATCATTCCCTTTGACATAGGATGACCACAGGTTAAGTTTTAAAACTTAACCTCTAAATAAATATATCTTCATGTATTTTATTTGACTAACACTCGTCAACTAGACTGAGTACTTTATAATTTTCTTCCCGAATTTTGATTTTTTCCGCGGAACACTGCTCTACTTCTGCTTCAGATTTACCACTACTCTAAATTGTGGAATTAAATGTTGGCAGTGTTTGTTCTATCTACTTTAGAGCAGATTTATTTTTGGAATTAATTTAAGTTTTTAAATTTTGGCCTTAAAACTTTTTTAAATCATTCAATTAAAAAAAAAAAAATCATCCAGAAGTGAATTCAGAAAAGTGGTTTATCAGGAGGAATTGTTGATCTGCCTCTTGACGAAGAATTGAGTTTTGCATGATTCTTCTGTTTTTTTGCATCTTCGATTAATTAATTAGTTTGTGCTTTTATTTTTGCCCTTTCCTTTCTAGGCTTGCCAGCCATAAAAGATAAATTACAAATTTGCTTGTTATTGTATAGATACATATTTCTAATGCATCTTGTCCTAGATTAGTTTTCTTAAATTATGGTAAACTTACCCAAGACAGAAAACCTAAACGCCCATACAGCCAGCCTCGTCATCCAGAATTACTTCCTGATAAACAGGCTGGTAAGCCTATAACAATATTTAAAGTGGGAAAAAAAAAAAAAAAAAACCCTGAACGTAATAGTAAACCGGTCCCTTTAGTTTTCTTATGTTTCCCTTTGGTTAGATTTGTCCCAGTTGTAGTTGTTTTATTCTACTGAAAAATGCTGCAATTTTTATTTCTGGAAAACTAGGTTTGTATTAAAGCAAACGAAATATTTTCACATATTTAGACCTACATCAGGTGATAAAAACATTAAACTGTTCAAGGGGTTCAATACATTTTTAGTTCCAAAGCAAAATTTTATAATTTAACAACTATTTCGTTTCATTTTGCAAAAGTTTTATGCTTGAACTCGTCTAAATGTGACTAAAAATACTTTGGAAAAGTACTAAATCTCGTAATGTAATTAATTCACCGTTCATTTGTGATATTTGAATGCTAAATAGGAAACAGTAATAATCTGCAGAATTTTATAATTCAACAAATTGTAACCTAATGTTTAATCCAAATTATTATTTTTTATCTCCCTCCAAAGTAATGGAATAAGTGTTATTCTAAGCTGCAACAAATCAGTTTGTTACCTTGCAAGTTTCCAAAGTAATTTAATTTTGGATTATAATGTCAGTGTATTAAATAACTTAAATGATTAAGATCACTTACACAGAGATGCCAAATTTTCAGCAAATTCTTGAACAATAAATTACGACAAAAATTAATTTATCATATTAAAGAGAATCTTATGAACATACTGTAAAATTATAGTCACACTGACGAAACTCTCATTGTAAAACTCAACATATTCCAATTTTTAAATTTATAATAAAAATGGAAGTCTTGAAACTTGCCTTTATTTCATTTAAAAATTAGGCAAAGGCCCATCTAATATAAAAATATAAAATTATATATAAATTCGATATATAAAATATATATATAGCTGTAAATATAAAATTCGAAATGATTTTACAACTGAAAAATTTAAAACAGGGATGATAATAATTTTTAAGAAATTTAATTTATTAAAATATTCTTTTAAGTTTTTTTAAACAAGTTTTATAACAATTAGTAATTGCTGTTCAAAAGTTTTTATATTATATCATGCACCGTAATTCGTATGGCCAAATTTATTATTTTTTAAAAACTTAAAAAGAAAACATCTCCATGAAAATTAAATAGAATATATGAAAGATATCTAATTTTAATAATCGATTTTATTTTAGAGTTATTATATTCATTATTATAATATTTTCCAATTATATTTACGCTTAGTAATTACTTTAAGAACTCATCATTGAAAAGTAAAAGCATTCTTCAGAATAGTTTTTTTTTTCCGATCGTCTGAAAGGAATAGGCGTAACTTAATGACGTCATTTAATCACGAAGCTAGTTCGCAAGCGCCTATTCATTACATCTCTTTGTATTAATCCTGACCTCATTTCAAGGTAATGCCTGCTAAATTTCACATTATAGGTAAAAGACATTATTAGCAATGAACAAATATATATATTTAATTTGTTTTTACCTTTTTGCCAGAGGAGAGCGGTGAAAACTAAACCGAAAATCGAACCAATCATCTTTCAGGATAAATATATTTTGATTAGTAGACACAAAAAAGAACGTCCGAAGAGAATTTTAGAAGATTACAAAAGGACATTATGAATCTCACTTCGGCGCGTGCGTGGATGGCATGTAGGTCTTTTTGATGATTTTGTAAAAACATGCCAGACAGGTTTCATCCGAGTTCAAATGTTCAGAGGTCCACATTCGAAGGAAAATTTCATGGAATTGCTTATAGGAGACAACATTAAAAATTCCAGAAAACTCGTTTTGGAAATGGAACAAGAGAATTCTTTAACGTTTAAATTCTTAAAAGATTGCAAAAACCTCTCCCTTATTTAAGACATACTATACATCACAAGATTCTGTGATCATCAGTTCTTTCGAGGCAAGTTTGAACATAAGTGGGTTAACACGAACTGGTTTTTAATCCATTGTGTATTCCTTTCTGCAAAGGTGGTACTTGTGTAATTTAAGTTTATGCCTGTTTAATTTTCTTCTTTTTTCGGTGTTTCGACAAATTGTTTTGGGTGGAACGTGTTATTAGAGGAAAAAAGAAACTGTATCATTTAATCTAAATTAAAGTGATAAATCGTGTAAATGTTTTATTTGCATAGTAATGTAACGTTGCCACACATTTTTTTCAAAAAGAGTGAGAAAAAGTTAACTTTTAACCTTTGAATGAGCATTTGTTTTCCGTTTCCTACAATGTTTAAAAGTTCACCATCATTCTCCAGCAAGAAAATGACATCAATAAATTGAAAAAACCGAATTTTATTTGTTTCCTACACCTGTTGCACTCAAATATAATAATAAATCTGCATGTATAATATTTACACTGCAGTATGGAAAAACAATTACGCTATTTTAATTGAGTTCTGAAGTAAATTTCGACTTTGAATCCAGAACCTTTCCAAGTTATTTTTTTATCACTGAACTATTAAAGCCAGAAATCCGTTAATTTTTATTTAAAGATGAAAATCCAATTATTTCACAGTTAGCGTTTTTGCTGTAGTTAGATAATCTGATTTATTATTCATCAACTACTTAAATTGTGCAGGACATCAATGTATTTTAATTACAGTAAATTGCTTTTGTTTCTTGTGACGTAAGATTATTAAACTTGCTTTCTAAAGTTATGAAACAAAGAGATGGGTTTGAATTTTAACACATGTGAAAAACAAGTGCATATTTGAGCTCTTATAGTTTTTTGAAGAGTGCAAACTGCTATGAAATTACTGAAGCGGGAAAAGAACCTGATCTAAGTAATAGGGTGTTTTCTCCCTCCTTACAGCGTGCCTTCGTGGTGTAATTGAATAGCACGTCCGGCCAGCAGTCGGGAAGTCTGCTATTCGAATCCGGTCAGGACACTGCACATCCGCTCATGTCTCTTTCTTTAAAAAAAGTCTGAAAGCTTTCAGATTTTATATTACGCCCAAAGTTTTTTTTTTTTTTTAATTTATTTATTTACACACACATACACGTTTCGAGAGCATTTGGGTTTACGCTCCTTTGGGCTAAAAATATTTGACGAACAACATATCTTTAGAATTTCCAATAGACAGTATGGCGCTCTGGAGATAAAAATATTTTATTCCATACAGTGTTGCTACTTACTTTGAAACTGTTGAGTTTTTTAATCAAAAATTTGTTAAAGTTTTGCAAAATATGAAATAGAATATAAAACTGTTAGGCATTTTTGGGGCCAGGAGGCTGAAAAATTGCTCTTAATGATCCTTGAGATTGCGCGGTGTTAATATGTGATAAATGTTGTATTGTCCGCCCGATTATCTGGACTTAATGCTATCTGAGTTAGGCACTGTTATGAATTCATAGCACTTGCCGTTACGTGGTGCTCTGAGCGTTCTGCTTTTGGGAGTCATTCGGTAGCTTGACATTAGCGTGGAAGATAAAGTATTAAGCCTAATAATGCCGTAGACGAGTGTCTAACAATTATGCTTGTAAACCACTATATTACATGTAAATAAAATTTGTATGCGTATTAATAAAAACTGGAATGATGACTTTCCTCTGGAGTTTTTACTCGAACATAAATCTAACGAATGATAATGCAAATAGTTTCTACAAGCGCTGGTGGATTCAGGCAATTCTCACTTTTAACCCCCCTCTGCTGCAATAGGTTCGGATAGTTCATGTAAGAATTCACGCTAGTGAAGGAACCAAAGAACTAATAAACACTAATCTCAGAAAATTTCTCTTAGAATCTCCTCCTTTTTTTATCCATATATTTAATAAATAATTTAATGTTATTTACTGGGCAACCCTTAGAATGTGCTAAAAATATAAATATATCCACCTTGAAAGAGACGTTTTTTCAACAGCTTCTAAAGGAAACCAATTCATAAGCAGAATCAAATCAAACCCAGAATGAAATTTTCAATGTTGAATGTTTACTCGGATGTTGGTAAGCAAAATTTTTTTTTTAAGTTTTACTGCTTGATTATATCGCCAGTGTAAGTCAACCCGTTTGCCGGGAATTCGTAGCAACTTTAGAATTCTAGCTTGTTCTCATTTGATTACTGGTTCAACATTTTTTTTTTTTTTTTCTTTCAGTAGCATTTTTTAAAGTCTACGCATCGAGGTCAGATTTGCGTATTTCTGCGTGAATAAGGGCTTCGCATAATATTTCTACATTTGATCTGCTTCTTTTGACATATATTCAAAAGGCCATTTTCAATAGAATTTGGTATTTTAGATCGGTATAAATGATCTCAATATGAATTACGCTTCTAGCTCCTAGTGAGTTGTGCCATAATTTAATAAATCCAATCTTATCTGTTCTAGTTCAATACAGCATTCATTGAACAGTAATTGGATGCTAGTAAGCTAATATTTCATGCCAATGCAGTGGTTATTTAGTTATAGTTATTAAGAATGCTAGTCGTCAGTTGTCTAGTAAACCCGAAAGTTAAAAACTTTAACAAAATTCGTCAAGTTACTACGAATAGCTTCTTTTTCGTTTCGAAAATGAAATGCAGCTCGTTTTCTCTATTTATTACTTTACATATACTCGTTTAACAAGGTCCCGTTATTAGAGGTCATCGTCAAGAACTTGTTATCCAAATAACATCGGTTTAATCCGGTTCTAACTAGTTTTAAATAAAATTAATGCCATCAGATATCATGCAACTCACTTTCGCCTCCTTAAAAGCGAAAAAAATAGAAATACTTAGGATGATTGCTTTGATAATTTCAGTCACTTGAGCAAAAGCGTATTTGTTATCTACCGTTAAATGTATCACTCGCATTTTGGAAAACTGGACGTTACGAGTCATTGAATTGCTTATCTGCCATCAAGCGGAAACAAACGTGTAACGCGTAAATAAAAGTCTTTAAATTAAACTTTCTTTGAGGTCTTTAGTGTACTTTTCTTAGCTTTTTTTCTTGACATTTTAAGGTCCATATCATGCATACATTTTAGGTTTTTAACGTATATGGGGAACCTCAGAATGCTGCCATTTGGCAAAATATAAAAAATTAAATTTAGCTTTTGAATTTAATGGTGTGTAAATACCGCTTAATAAAATGAATAATTTAAAAGCAATAAACGCAATAGCTATTTATTTTTTTTAATAATACAGTGTCTCAAAAAAGTGATGGGACACTTGTGCTTTACAAAAGGAAACTGCAATAAAATAAATTTAAAAAACATGTAAAATTTTTTGTGGGTGTGTTTCATACTTAAATTTAGTAACAATTATTACATAACATACATTTTCTCAAAATATTAAAATATTAATTTAATAAAAAGGACAATTGTTTAGAACGGAGCAAAAAATGGCTCACTTAAGTGATGGGACACGACGTACTATGCAACAAAAATCGTCTGAAGTAAGCAATAAGAATATCTTTTGGGGTATTTATTTTTACTCAAAAGCAATTGCCAATAATTTATAAAAAATCGTCTGCAGTATTTCTCTCCAGTTTGTTTGGAATTTTTGTGTTTTTTAGCTCTGTGCAGCCATGAATGCTAAACGAAAAAGAAACTTTGCCTGGAATTCGAAAATTAGTTATTAATTTGCATATTGAACGTGGAAAATCTATTAGAGAAACTACTGAAACAGTTAACTCAGTCATTCAACAGTTTTCAATATCATTAAACGATATAAAAAGAATCATATGATTCAGGATAAAAGAAGACCTGGCCGACCATCAAAGCTATCCAATGAAAATAAATAAAGCGAATTATCGTTCGAAATATTAAAAAAAAAATCCAAGAATGAGTGCTCCTAAAAGTTGCTGCTGATTTACAAGCATTATATGAAGTAATTGTTAATCCTGAGACTATTAGAAAAGTAATTCGATCTGCTGGATATCACGGTAGTAGAGCAGCCAGGAAAAAATTCTTCGTAAGTGAAAAGAATAGAAAACTCAGACTGGCTTTGCAAAATCCAACATAAATAAGAATTCTGATTACTGGAATGAAGTTATATTTGCTGATGAGAGTAAATTTAATATATTTGGTTCTGACGGTAGTAGAATCTTGGTGTGGAGAAAACCCAGGGAAGAATTTCGCAAACAGAACTTGGTGCCAACAGTAAAACATGGTGGAGGAGAGGAGTTATGGTATGGGGGTGTATGTCGTCCGCTGGAGTTGGTAATCTTGTTTTTATTGACAGTATAATGGATCAGTACAAGTGTATGTTGACATTTTAAATCAAAATTTGAAATCTTCAGCACGAAAATTGAACCATTTTCATAACGATTTTAAATTCTACCAGGACAATGACCCAAGCACACTGCTTTGAACGTTAGACTCTGGCTGCTGTATAACTGTCCTGAATAATAAAAACACCACCACAATCTCCAGACTTAAATCACCATAGAGAATATTTGGCAAAGAATTGGGAATCAAGAATTCGCAAAACACACCATTTCTTCAAAACAACAATTAAAATCGGTGCTTCAAGAAGAATGGGGTAAAATCACTCCAGAAATCACAAAAAAAATTAGTCGAATCCATCCCAAGAAGATTTAAATCATGTTTTAAAAGTAAAAGGAAATCCAACAAAATATTAAAAACTTTTAAAAAGTAAAATTTTTGGATAAATATTTGATGGAAAAGTAAGTGTCCCATCACTTAAGTGAGCCATTTTCTGCTCCGTTCTAAACAATTGTCTTTTTATTAAATTGATATTTTAATATTTTGAGAAAATGTATGTTATGTAATAATTGTTACTAAATTTAAGTATGAAACACACCCAC